CCTCTATTTGGATCCATTCTTTCTGATGGATGAAGAGAATAAATACTTCTTTGATTCAAACTACTTGTATTATCTATTGAAGGTTTTGAAAATAAATTTTTAAATTTTTTTCAAGATCTTCTAAAGAAAGGTCTTAAAATTCTTACAAAAAGTTTCTAGGCATATTTAAATTGAGTTCAAGAGTTGAAGTTGTAATATTTAGCAAAATAACTTTGATAGTTCTTAAGGACTTTGGGTTTTCTAAAGGTTGTATTAATACAATTTTATAGGACTTAATGGAGTGGTACATTAAACTACTACAATCATGGTGTTATTTTTAATAATTAAAAACTAAAATAATTAAATAAATCAGATTAGTAACTTGTGAAATTTAAATTTATATTATCTTATGTTCAACATCATGCATCTCACTTAAATACTCCTTTTGATAGAAAAGGGCAACATAACAAAAATAATTTAAAAGAAGAATACTTATTTTAATATAATCTTAAGCAAGACTTTTCTTTTCTTAGCTTATTATATAGAACGACCTTATATGAAGGTGATCCTAAGCAACATTCAATGTAAAGGTATTTTGTTGTCGGCAATGAGCTAATTTTTTTTTTTTATCTTTTATATCAATGCAGTTTGGAAATTATCCACTACTTGGTCAATGATACATATATTAAATAAAAAGGATTCAATACATGCATCAATCAAATTTGAAGGAGAACTTACTTAACTGCATTGCCAATCAACCTAGTATGTATTAAAGAATTTTCAATGTGACTTTCTTCTTATCTGATTTGAATTAAATATTTATTTTATTTTTGTAAAAAAATATTTTTGAATTAGGATAGGAAAGGATTCTAAGGCTCTATTGATTCTAAAGAAAATAAAATCTATAAAGAGAGTTAGAAGGTTATTTGTTGTTGCATCTTCTTCTTAGATTATATCCTCCAACTCCTAGTTCATACTCCTTGTATTCAAGCAATTTTCTAAAATTTCAAGAAAGAAATAATTCACAAGGTTCAAAGACTTACTTTTTTGCAAACTATTAATCTTTCCCTTCTTTCTTATGCTCTTTCTCCTCAAATCACAATATATATTAGCAAAATAAATTTAAAACTTAATGAATTTTGTTGAAAAGATATTCACCTTGGATTATAATTTGAACTTGTTGATCTTCACTCTTTTTCTTCTTTTCTTCTTCTTCTTCTTCTTCTTCTTCTTCTTCTTCTTCTCCTTTTTTTTTTTTTTTTCAAATTTCTTCTATCTAAATTTTCTATTTATTCCTTCTTCTTGAATTTTGTTCTTCTTTTGTTGATAAAGAATTCTCTTGAATTATTCTTAAGTTCCTTCTTGAGTAGAAGGAATATGAATTTTGGAAGGAGTGATTAAATTTTCCTACCACTAGAAAAAACCCTCAATTGAAAACTTACAAAGATGAAGAGTGATGAACACTAAAAACAAGCTCCACCTGTTATGCTTATAGAACTAATAATTAACTTAAGATAATCACCAAGTAATACTAATACTAATAATAAACTAATCAAATATCACTTAAAAATAAATATAATAATATTGTATAAAAAATCAATTAATGAATAAATAAAAAATACATATTAAATTTATTTTAATACTTAAAACTTATCATGCACATAAAAGAAGAAATAATATTAGTAAATAAAAATATTTATAAAAATTAAGAAAATAAATTTAAATAAAAGATAAAAAAAATTAAATAATAAAATTTAAAATTAAAAGTAAAAGTAAATTGAAACTATTGATTAATTTTTATTTTTATTAATTAATTAAAATTAAAATTATATTATTAATTTAATATTAATTCTTTTTTTTAATTCTTAATATATCTATATATATATTATTTTTTATTTATTTTTTTATAATTTAATCAAATTAAGAAGAATATTTTTAATATAAAATTTTGATATATAACATAAAATCCAAAATTTAAATGATAGAAGAGGTAAAAATCACTAACCTCAATTATATTTTGCTTAAAGTAGCAACCTCTCTACACTCCAAAAATCGCCAAAAATTTAATTTTGATTCAATAGCATTAAATTTTTTACCACTAAAAACTTATATTCAAGATGCTTGTCTTTAATAATTTTTATAATAAAATAATCACTAGAAACTAAAAAATACCTTTCTAAACAATAGATTTATGAAATTACCAAGGCAGTGAATCTCTTCATAATCTAAAATTCACTAATAATTCAAATCAATTCCAATTTGAATGTGTATTAGCTTTTTAAAAATCTAATATTAAGATACACAACCTCAAAAAAATACAACTAAAAATTTACAACACATAAAAACTGATTGTTAAAAATCCAAGAACAATTTATATTCAATTCAATATTGAAATCCTTAACTATCTTATAAAGTGAAAATTTGAAATGCTTTGTTCTTACATTTAAGGAAGAGATGTAAAATACTTAATAATAATGAAGACCTATTTGAATTTCTTACTCAACAAAACCAACCAAGATTAATCACAATAAACAACTTCACATTCAAACACACCATTAAAAGCACCATCTCTCGGCAAATGCACCAAAATGTAAGTGTAAAATTCACTCCTCAATTCAAATTACAAAATGGCCTCAATTAAGAGTTTCTTGTAATTGGTGGTGTAAAGTAGAACTAGTAGGAACAAGAACAAGAATATAGAAGCACAACACAAAAACAAGTGCAATTAAGCAACTGTACACTTTAAAACTAATCATAGTCTATTCACTAAGTTTTCATCCAATAAAAGTAAAAAATAAAAATAAAAGATATATTTTTAAAAATATTATTTTTAATCTTTTCAATGATATAAGAAACATATAAATCTAAGTTATTATGAGTAAGTTGTAAAGATTAAAAAATAACAAGTAAATAAATAATAAGTTAAGTAAATAAGTTTTATGTCAAGAATAACTTGCTCAAGAAATCAAGAGTTCGAGCCTCACTAAGGCTCATTAGTAGTGTATATGGATGTTTAAGAGGTGCCATGAGGCCTTAGTTTTATCGTCCTAACTACCTTCAAGGTGCTACAATCCATATGAGACTTGTGCACTTCTTTTCTTGCAAGGACTACATTAGCTGCTGGTCCTCCTATTTTTTACTAGTAAAATCAATAATTTTGCATTTTTGACTTCACCATGAGTTTAAAGAACCAAATTAGCTTTCAAACCTCGAGTGGCTTTCAAATTTTGCTCCATTTCTTCATAATGGCTCTCGAAGTGATAAAACTCATTTTTACCAAAGTCTTGGAAATTGCTCTAAAACTTCCTAAATTCTAAATAAATTCTAAATAAATTCTAAAAATTCTTATAATGATTTTATAATATTAATATCAGTTTAAGGCAATAACTTCCTATCTTAATAATTTTTTATAATAATAAAATTAATTTATACCGATTATAAATCCTACTTTTTATATAAATAACTAAAAAGACATGAAGTTCTTTTTTATGCTTCTTTTAACTACTAACTACAATTTGTAGTTTTTTTTATAAGTAATATGTATAGATAGAAGGCCAATACAAATATTGGCCTTAGTAAATAATCCTCAATATTTAATAATAAGTAAAAAAATACTAAACCAACTAAGATAATTATCTCTAAGACTTACTAAGATTTTAATTCTACAATTAACATTCTAATTTTCTACTTGTCCAAAGATTTCTACACTATTCACCATATATTATGGTTCTAAGCACTCTAAATACATCTTTTTATTCTAAAACAACTAATAAATCAATTAAATGACTTACAAAAGATCAACATCAATTCACTCCCGTACCATAGATGTCAATAATAAACAACCTCATAACTCATATTATACTTACACAAGTAATTGAAAAGAGAAACATGGCATGATTAATGGAATTATGAAGGTTTGCAAAAACATAAACCATCAAATGAAATTAAACTGGAAATCCAACCTAAGGCTCCACACTACTCATTTGCTCTCAATAATAGACAATCTTCACATCACATACCTCATGCTCACAATCTACATTCAAACTCCATACATTGAAGCTCATCACACAATCAAAACTATTAGCAACTAAGTTACACCTAAGGAGATAAGTTGCTATAGATAGAAGCCATCAAATGCATGGGGTAGAATTTGACCACATCAATAGACAGGATATCCATGCTAGAGCATGGGGTAGAATTTGACCACATCAATAGACAGGATATCCATGCTAGAGGCAATCATGGAATAAGTGTAGAAAGGCACACCATCCCTAGGATCCACTACTTACTTAACAAAGTAATTAGTTCTTGATGAATTGTAAAACGCCCTCATTGAAGTATAAAAAGAGTTGTGAACTCCACAAAACATGAAGTTTTTTAATGAAAACAAAGAGAAGTGCATGCAATGAAGGACAGCCACTTGTCTCCTTGAGTGATCTTAATACATAGATAGTACAATAATGTATATATATATATATATATATATACACACATGTATATATGTGACAAATAACTCTGATCTCTCTAGCTGCTCCATCGTAAGTTTAGGAGACATTTTCCTTTGACGTCACTCACGAATTCTGCGAACAAAAGCAGGGCATCCATGGTTTCATCATCGGTGCAGCAGAGAGACAGAAACAGAGAGAGCCTTTCTTTCGTTTCCTAATGGCTGAGGGGACGGGGGTGGTCGAGTGCTCGGAGGCAACAATGAAGCACATTGGGAATCAGATTATTATGCATTTGCCAATCTGATCCAAGCTCAACACCCCATGTCCCACTCCATCCCACCCCATCTTTCACCGATGCTCCCGATGATGCGCATCGACGATGTCGAGACCCCGCTGAGACCCCGCTCGCCGCTGATCCTCAAAATCTGCTCGCGTACCTCCATTCGACCACGTCCCACTTTCGTCATCCATTCTGTCCACACGTCATTTCGAAATCGATCCACAGAACGCGGTCCATCATCAGTTGCGTTATCCACTTTGAGGCGCTGCTGCTGCGCCTTGTGTGGCTACCCTCCTGCCAACTTTCTCTTCTTAATTCTAGTTTCTCCGCGTAGATTGGCCTCACGCAGCAAATTTCCATTTGTCTTCGTCGTTAGGTATCATCGTTTTTTCCACTCCTTTCTGTGAAGGTTGAGTCCTGTACGATGGCGTCCATCGTTGCCGCTTCCACCGTGGTTGCCCCCGCTGCCTTCGCCGCAGCCTCATCTGGAGTGTCGACATCTGAGTCGACCTCCGTCAAGGCTTTCTCGGGCCTCAAGAGTGCCACCTTGTTCTCCAGCCAATCCCAGCAGTTGAGCTCCGTCCAGAATGGCAGCCGTGTTAACTGCATGCAGGTGTGGAACCCCATCGGCATGACCAAATTCGAGACCTTCTCTTACTTGCCCCCATTGTCCGATGACGCCATCGCTAAGCAGGTGGAGTACATGATTCAGCAGAAGTTGATCCCCTGCCTCGAGTTCGACGTGGTAAGATTATTGTTTCGTGAAATTATCACTACTTTTTGAATCACCAACTGAGCCGTTGGGCAGAATGTAGGAAAGGATATGAGTTAGCTATCTCTTTCGAATGTGAATGGCGGAGCTATAGAATCATTCTGTTTAGGGCTCTAGTATGTTAAATGGAACTTGGAGTGAAGTGCTTGCTGTGCCCTACGAATTGACAACCTTTGCTCGTTACAGAACTCCAAGGGTGTGACCCGCGAGAACAACTCCTCCCCAGGGTACTATGACGGCCGCTACTGGACCATGTGGAAGTTGCCCATGTTCGGATGCCAAGACTCTGCCCAGGTCCTGAGGGAGATTGAGGAGTGCAAGAAGACTTTCCCCGGCTGCTTCGTACGCGTGTTAGGATTCGACAACGTGAAGCAGGTGCAGATCTGTGGATTCTTGGTCGCCAGGCCTAACTAGATAATCTGTTGATCACTTCCTGTACTATGTAGAGATACGTCGGTTCCGATATGTGTATCGCTGGCAATATGAATCAAGAATGGGTCCACAGATCCTCGTAATTGCTGCAGCCTTTTTTGTCTAAACTCTCTTACGTGTGGTTTAAGTGTCAGGTCTTGCAATGTGGAATGGAAGCCTGGTGTTAGAGATCTGAGTATGTGATGTCCTAGTGAAAACAAAGAACTCAAACCGTACCTGGCAGACATCTACGCGGAACTGCATCACTTTCTCGTATTAAGATCTTCGTTTGTCAAATAACTGGTTGGCTTTACCAATCCTACACAATCGCACTTCTTACACGTAAGCACCACATCAAAATTATACTGTCATCCTAGTCTGTAGTCCAAGAATTAACATGGATATACTAATCCCAAATTCTGCTGAATGTACAGAAACTAAAACACATGTTAGCACTTGGACATATTCTCGAAGAGATGATTATATGCGCCATCTAATATCAAGTCAATTGGCAACATCTTTAAAAAGGAAAGGTAGTGCCCAAACTGCGCTGAAACACCATTTTAGACAATCTTGAGCATATCCAAGAAATAGAACGAAGTGAGAGAATACATTCTAACGAAATACTGGAACATGTTCAATGTCAACAGTTTGACGAAATACAATCATCACCCCTGCAGCGACAACTCCAATATAAATTCCTCAAAAGTTGTGACAAATTCATTTAAATGTTTCCAAGATATGTATGTGTATAAACGATCTGTTATTGAAGTTTTTCTTTACGGACTTATCCTTTTTTTTGGTTCAATTTTAGAGACATTTTTCAGAGACATATTATACGACTTTGGTAATGTTTTTGTTGTGAATGTTGCATTGTAATTAAGGTTAAACATTGTAATGATGTGAAGCATAATTACTTAAGTAATTTGACTGTAGTAGATTCTTAAATTAGAAATCTAACTTGAAATTTTAATTATTTATATCACTTGTCGGAATTTCAAAGGAAATGACTTTTGTTGCTTTTAATACTCAGTTTACAAGTACCTCACAATTACTGTAATATAAATAAATTTTTTTATCTTAATTTGAAAATAAACTTACAAATCAATGTTTTCAACTAGTGATAAAAAAATTAATCAGTAAATGATTATATTTGAAGTATTTGTACAATATTTTTGTCACATGAGTAGTTCTGAACATCAGTTACTCAAAATTAAATCAAATAACAATCATGCAAAATGTCGATTTGTTTGAAAGAAAAATATTACACAACAATGGAAATAGACACTCTCAAGATTGGTAATTCATACATTTAATTCAAGTACAGAGATGGATTCGCATAATTGAAATATGGAATGTATGTATATGTGTTGCATGAGTCTTGGTAATTTCCACACTGAGAAGCATTGCGTACGAGAAGTGAATATCTGGAGTCAAGGTATTTATCTCTCATATTCTTACGGCTATCAAAAATCCTATGTTTATATTCTGCCTTAAAAGCTTGGTATATCTAAAACATGTGTACTTCTGAACGTAGCCTCCTTGAATCAAGGCTGAAAACTACTTCGAGATCCGGATTCTCAATAACTTCCTGACACTGAGCTTGTGAAACTATGGGCTGGAGGATTCATTTTTTTGTTTGTAAGAGAGCTGATGCATGCTTTGCCCTAACAAAGCATCAAGAAAGGAGAGGTTCCTCTAGATCAGATAGTTTCTTATCCTCACCACTGAAGCTTATCACGCCTGATTTGGTTTTGCATTGAAGGAGCAATAACTTTTTCTTCTTTCGCTCCATTTTTTGTCCATAATTGACGATGTAGAATCCTCCAATAACCAGCACACCCCCTATCACGCTGCACCATATTGTCCAAAAACGCTCAATAGAGGAAATGAAACAGGGTCAGCCAAGTTAAGTTGGGACATCAAGTGAGACTTGTGATAGTTACTAATATATGCAACAAAAGTCGGCTCAAATATAGAAGCGACGGATGGCAACTTACACTCCTAGGTAGAGAGTCTCGCCGAGCACAATAATTGCCAGAACAGCCACCACCAGCGTTTGCACTGGCAAGAAGATGGAGACGAAAAATGCACCCGTTTGCTGGATACACCATGCTTGCAGCACTTGAACGATAGCTGAGACTACCACCCCCTGCAAGGTCAATCCACAAGTCCACATGCTACCACTGGTTCAATGATCTTACTCAGTGGTGTATGACTGTCGACGTTTCCCAGCTTATTGTCAGGCTAAAAGAACGAGGAAGTGCGAGACTGCGGTGAAGGTATATCTTACCGCATATGTGATGACCATGAGATGATTAAGCGTAACCGATCGGAAATCGAGGGACTGTACGCCCTTCATTGCGGCTCCAATAATACCCACTTGAATGGACCCAAATAGTTCCGTCAAGCACCCCATCGACAGGAGGGCTGGATACTTCACTAGTACAGAACCCTTTGCAGAAACACCCCAACACATGGCTCATGTACAATTAGTTCTCCGCCCAAGAGATCAAGAGCTCGGTGCTTTGAATAGAAAAAATAATAATAATAATAATAATAATATGTTGGAGTTAATCTGCACCTGATTTATGAGATACAACCCCCACAAGGTGCAATTTAATAGTAGATAAAATGCACCAAGAGCCCAGTGATCTATCTTGATGTCGACTAGAGCGGGGATTCCCGCATACTTGAAGAGGTTCACAAATCCATCTAACTCATCTTTTCCAGCTTCGGACGCATAGATCTTCGCTCCTTTGTACAGTGTCATGGTTACTGCACCACCGAAGCCAATGAAGGTTCCAAGAATTTTGGCAAGACCACTCATCTTTCGACAGGATATCTCCTCTTGCCTGAACATTTTAAGCCACTACATTTTAAGACACCAGACATTATGCAAAACAAACCGCTGCTAGGGTAGAATTTACACCGTTGTAGAAATTAAACTAGCTCTAAGTGAGCATGGTACATTGTCTTTAGAATCCTTAAAAGGTTCAAACGTAGCTACTTGACCTTAGAACCGATGGCGACAACAACAACAACAAAAAAAAAAAAACAAAACAAAACAAAACAAACAAACAAACAAACAAACAAACAAACAATTAAACAAACAAACAAACAAAAAAATCAAAAAAAATCAAAAAAAAAATGAAACAAAACACTCAAGAATGTCAGGAAAATATGAACTGCTGGTAGAACCAGTATTTACCCAATGCTTGCAGCTAACAAGAAGGTGATCACTGGAATCGTATTTTGCGCCACGGCCGCGAACAAGGGTGATGTTAGCTTCAACCCTGCCAGGTAAAATTGCTGGTTCCCCAAAATTCTGCGGGGTCCAAAGGTCCAATGGGTCAATACTAGCGTCGAAATAAATGCAAGAACAAGACGGGAAGAAAAACAATTAGTAATTGCTGATGGGGTCCACATCAATGAGGAAGGGGAGTTACGCAAAAAAGGCGAGAATATTGAGGTTTCCAAACGTCGCTAGAGTCATTTTCGGTCTCATATCCCTGCTGACGAAAGCCAACGAACAAGTCAGACCCTGAAATTCGTTCCCTTAAAGTGCAAATTGCACAATTGTAAAAAGCATCGGTGATTTCTCAGTAGTTAGTAGATTCATGGGTGTAACTATACACCATCACCTACCTCTCGACATAGTAGGCGAAAGGAGCCAAGACGGCAAACGCGATAAAATTCCTGTAGAAGGTAAACAGGAGTGGATCTATGCCAGTGACCAGGGCCACTCTTGAAAGGATCTGGTGACCGCCACTGAGCACCTGCACCAGCACCAGCACAAGCACAGGGACGACAGCATACTTGGTCCAATGTTTCTTGGGCTCTAAAATTAGACCCTCCACATCGGCGGGGATCGAAAGCTTCACGCTCTCAGGCTGCTCCACACCCGCCTGGTCATTTTGTGTCACCATCGTGACGCGCTGCTACATCTACAAGCAAACGCGTCACGGAGCTTTGCGCCCCTCTCTCAGAATGCGAAAACAAATAAAGCCTACCATTCACGGAGCTGCAAAGACCCAATGAGCATTTCACCAAACCGAGCAGCAGGCGAGATGTCTAAAACACTCATCCCACAAGCTCCCCGCGTCTTAAAATCCCTTCTCATGCATGACAGCACCTCGTCCAAGACTTCTTTGACGCCTGCTACCCCACCTACTTTTTCCCCAATGCGGCTGCAATATCCAACTCAACTCTTATACTTTTGTCTCTCGTCGTGCACACCACAACAATGGGGTTGAGCTAAATCTCACCCGATGCCGCACCAGCATGACGGCGGCATCCAAGTCTCTGCAGTGTAGTAATGACGCTCATGGAGGGTCTACTGATGCACAGGACAAGTCTAGAATCGTTCAGCGAGCTTCGGGTTGAGGAACGTCAGCATGATGCAGGATGATGATGCAGGATGATGAGACTGAGGACGGATGATGCTGCGCCTGCTCACTGTTGAGCCGACTGGGCGAGACATCCTCCGCCAGACATCCCCTCTCTCCTTTAATAAACTCCCTCCCTCCCTCACTCAATCACTCAATTACTCACTGTGTGTTAAGTAGTGGCAACGATGACCGACTGATAGGACTCTCTCATTCTCTCGCCCCTTCCGAACCCCAGCCTCCACGCGCCGCCCACTTCGATGCGCACCTTGCTTCATCTCATGTGGCGGGTTGGGTCCGCTCATTAATACGGCGATCTGATTGGCGTGAGAAGGATTGGGCCTCCTTTGCATTTGAGGTCGAGGGTGGAGGTCAGTTGAAGCTCGAATATATTATTATTCCTGACAATGAGTAAGGAGGAGCAAATGTCAGACTTGTTATTTTTAATTTTTAATGTTTTTTTTTATTCTTTGGCACCCACATGGTCCGGCCTGTTGTATTCATTTGGGAAAAGGAGAGCACGAAACATCCGCTGTCTTAACACCCCAGGAATGTTGACATACGAAAACCATACGAAAACATAGTTTATTCTACTTACTGAATATAGACTTCAACATTTTGGTGGAGTGTGTATACTTAGTCTATTGTAGAGAGTTTTTTTTCTTTCTGTCTTTTTTCTTCCTAATGGACATCCCTACCTTTAAACTTATCATGTTATTTGGCTATCCACAGTTTATTCCATTTTTTATTTTTAACATCCATATTAAGTTTAAGTTATTTTCTTTATCTTTTTCTATAATATGTTGTTATTTTTAAGCATATATATTTTAGAGTTCCAAAGCTATTTTGTGTGGATAATGTTTTACTCAAATTGCATGACTTAAATATACATAATTTACAAACAATTCTTTTGAGAAAAGTCCATATTATGTTGAATCTTCTAAAATAAAGAAGTGAGTTTTTCAAACAAAGAGAGGTTGTTGTCAAGTAATTGTTATTGAAGGTCCAACTTTTAGATACAAATAATTAGTTTATGGAAGATAGATGTAGCCTAGTCTTATATTCTCTTAATACAATTACATTTGTAGGACTTGTGGATGGTTGTTTCAAGAAATTCAAGATAACTCTTTAAGAAAAATATAAATTTTTGGCAATTTCTCTTGATTTATTTATAAAAGTGAGGCATACGAAGTATTTATTAATATTGAAGAATACAAACAACATCTCTAATCACATATGAAATAAAATTTATACAAAGCATTAGAAAAATTAATACATCCTTAGCTATAATGTAAATACAAGTTTATATATATATATATATATATATATATATATATGTGCATATTTATATATACTATTTATAAATATTTAAAATTACAACAAATATATTATAAAGGTATGTTATTTTAAAAATAAAAATAACTTTATACAAATGGTATATATATATATATATATATATATACATAGAATTTACAAAACTTTCATTGTAGTCAAAGTGTACAACTTAGAGTTTGGTTTGTCAAAGAACTCAAAAAAAAGTACATAATATTAAAATTTATATACTTAAAATTCTAAAATCATCAATTTTGAAGACATAACGGATTAACTGAAACAAGTACAAAATTTCTTTTGGCCATATTAGAAGAAAAAAACTTTTATAATATAGGTTGTTTTATTGTTGATTGTGGACACAAAACTATTATTGAACTCAATCAAGTTTTAATAAAAAATAAGATGTAAGACTAAAAACATGCTCTATAAGGATTAAAATTAAGTGGGCTAAAAAGTGAACATGGACAAAACAAATGAGAAGAGAAGCAAGTAAGAAACAAGTGCTTAAATGAGTCCTTTCAAGTGTATAAGCCAAAAATTTGACCTTTCAAAACAAAAAAGTAAATTAATAAGTTTCGAAATATGTTTTTAATTTCTTAATAACCAAAATACATAAGGCTCTCCAAAAATTCCATTCAAGAGTTAAATTTTAATAAAAGAATATGTAGTTTGGCAAAACATCAAGTACAAATAATGATACTCTGAATACTTATAAACTTTTTTAGAACTTGATTTGCAAAGTTTTTTGTTCAATGGTTATTGGAGAATCTTCAACAAGATTAATTTTTATATAGCATAGATAATAACATAATTGTACTCATACATAACTAAGACCTAAGAAATGTATTAATAAAATAGTTTCCTATGACATTATTGAACATCGGTTTTATGATTTATGCCAATATTTTGTAAATAAAATTCTAAATAACATTAATACAAATAATTTATTTTAATTAACCTTTTTTAATTTCTTAGATTTATTCTAGATAAATAGTTTTGATTCAAATAAAACTGAAAAGAAAGTTGATAGAATGCCACAAATAAAGTATGATGAGTAAAATAAAGCAAGCATGATGAGTAAAATATACCAATCAATTACTGCCACAGCCGTGCCATGCATTGGTTGAATTCAGATGCTCAATCTGAACAAATTATGACAATCATGAAGCAGCATCAGTAGTAAAATAGGGATATTCTTTAGTGGATTTATCTTCAACTCATTTCCAAATAAAATATACTCACAAAAAAACATATATATATATATATATATATTCACATATACGAATTCAAGTAAGTGAATAAGTAATTCACCGAAAGCCTAAAACCCTCGAGATTTCGCTGCTCGTGCCGCGGCGCTGGTCTATCAGTGTGTGAGGGTTGATCGTTGCTGCGAGTGCGGCGTCGATGATCAAGTCGCAAAGGAATTGAGAACCAATGCGAAGGGGCATTCAAGGAAAGAGTTTGTTTGAAGAAAGCCCATAATTAAAAAAAGAAAATTGAAGAGAAGCTATTTCGCGAGCATCTTCATCCGCTGTTTTGAAAGCATGGGGTCCATTCAATTAGTCCTCCAACCCGTCAACGTGAATTCTGCAACCGTCGAAGGTGAGAGGAAGAGAATCGGAGGAATTTAAAATTATGGCATAGAGACAAACCAGTGACATTTGTCACGCTGATCAAGTTAACCATTTATACAAGCATTTCCATCACCCGGATTCCGTTTCATAGTCACCCACATTGTGATAAAGCATTAGAATGTGCATAGCTTGTCATGGATTGCTCCCAAACAACCAATTTCTACTGCAACTAAGGTTGAATCATCTGGACCAAAATTGAACCCAAATTTTGCAACTGTCGGTGAGAACACTCGTGGCGATGAAGAAATGACAAACAGCATTAAAAGGGGGGTACAGTGTAGTGTACAAAATTGCAATCAAGCAAGTACAGCGAAATACAAATGGACGAAATCCATCACAATAGGAAAGCGCTACTTTCCAAGAAATGAGAGAGACGGATAGAAAATAGAGTTGATGTGAGTCTCCATCACGCCTCCACTTTTAGAGCAATGATAAAAGAGGTCCTTAACTAACTTCTATGGAGCAAAATATCCTTCAACCACGTTCCAATAAGGCAAAGTGGAAAGTGAGAATAGCAGTCATTTTTTTGGTTTAGTTGTGTCAACAATATTAAAATCTTTGTGTATTTCATACTTAAAAGTATCCAAATTACTAGGTCTCTAAAAAAAAACACTTTAATTTATTTATATATTTTTTAGTCCCATTCATAAATTGGTGTTAAATCCTAATAAATAGATAAATAAATAAATAAATATATATATACATCTTCTTTTTTTTGGAGAGAAAAATCTTTTCCATAAATACAATACAAAAAATATACAAAATCTTTCTTTTAATCTAATGAATCTTTAATTAATAGATTTTTTATTAAAATCTATTAATTAAATATTATATTAAAATCTTTCAATTAAAGATTTTGTAATCTACAAGACTAAGATGAAGAGAAAGTCAAGATTAATCTTGTTGATATGTCATAAAAGAACAATATTAAATACATTAAGACAAAAATTTATTATTAAGACTTATGACTCTTAGTTTTTTTACTTCAGCAACATAAAATTACAATCATACGTAGATTTTGACATAATTTGTTGCTATGCATTTATAGAAGTAAAAAGCAACCATTACATACTGGCTTAGTTATTGTAAATTAATGCAATTACCTTATATAAATAACCTCAAAATAGAACCTTAAAACAAAGCCTCATCATATATATATATATATATATATATATATATCTATGGAATTGTTAATTAATTATTTTTGTAGAAACAATTATTGTGAAACTTTAAAATTTTAATTTTAATAAATTAATGAAATAATATAATTAATAATATTTATCTTAAAATATTTTGATTTATTCACACCATTAGTTTTTTGATTGATTTATTTTATATTTTATGATAAAATACTTAAAAGTAGCTAAAATGTATCTCAATTAGTATAAGAATAAGTTTTTTTATAAATATTTTTATACTTCAAAATTAAAATTATATTTATAAAATAATTTTAATATTAAAATTATCTTTTAAATATAAAATATCACAATATTAAAAGTTTCATCATAATAATTAATAGATAAGATATAGAATAAATTTGAGAATTATTAAAAAATATTTATGCATATAATACCTAAAATCTTAACTTTTAAACTACAATCTTACTCAATATAAAAAAAATCTAAATTTTGATCAACCATTTTTATTATTTATTTTATATAATAAAAATAATTAATAAAATATAAATTTTAATATAAAAATAAATATAATTTTTTATTTTTATAATTAATAATATCGCTTTATATTATCTAAATTATAATTTTTTTGAATTAAAACATATCTTTAAATTATTAATAATTTTTAGACTCTTAATTTCTTTTTTATTGTTATGTTTTCTTTTCAAAATATATCTATGTATTGATAGAATCTATACATCTACTTTCTTATATTTAAGTAATTTTTTATGCATTTATAAAAAATTCTCTAAGAAGCTTTGAACATCTAAAAGAATATCATAAATACATCCTAGAAACCTTGTGGTTCTCAAAAACCTTTCATGAGGTCTTTTATGTTGACAAATATACATGAAGACAATATCAAGTCTATCTCTAGTCTTGTAAATTCTCTTCTAGTATTCTAATCTTAACTCAAGAGTATCTAATCTCAATATATTCAAGACTACTTATTCTAAAAAAAATCTTATCTATGTTTATATTTTAGTTCTATAAGTGTCAATTTTTATTCTTTGCAATTCTTATTTTTTTTTTAATTGAAAATATTAAAACTACTATTAAACATG